GAAAAACTAGTACTGTAACTAGCCATTTTTGAGAGGTAAACTGAATATGGCATGAAATATTTACAGCATTTTACATGTAATTACAGGTCATTGTCGAAGCGTAGTTTACACACGGTTACCATGTTCTACGCATTCACAACATGTTCACAGCAGTCGATATCCATGCTGTATCATATAAAAACGATTACCAAGATTCGTTACGCAAGACCAAGTTTTAAATTAGTTGCATTTTGAAAGGGTGGGCACTGCCGAATGTGACCCCAAATATAAAAATTGCACAAAAGTTGGGCATGGGCGCTAACGCGGTCGAGTACGATACTATACATCATTAGACAAGATGCTTTTGCTTTCAATCAGCCTGAATCAGAATAACATTTTGATGTTAAAATCAGTAAAGACACAAGCCATGCATGGCACAGTCCCTGTTAGTTATCGAATTTAAGATATATAGTTTTGTTTATAGTAATATAGCTGGAATATAATCGGTCAGAAATATGATGATTGTTTAACATTAATAAAATGAATGACATTTGTATCTGATCGTCAAACGAGTACTTGTCCATATTGAGTGATGTTGCTCTGGAACAGCATTAATTAAAACAAAATCAGCCATTTTGAATACATGTATAAATCTATTATAACATGATGTATAACGAATATATACAATTTGAACATAATCAGTCAAAGCATGTCAGAGATATGGCTCTAGAAGCCCATTTATTAAAACGAAATGGCCGCCAGTCAGCCATTTTGAATCCAATATGTAAAATGAAATGACGAACATCAGGAACCCGTAATGTCTAATGTATGTACCTAGTTTGAACGAAATCCATCTATAAATGCCAGAAATGCTAGATATTTGATGATTTTTTAGCACAAAAATGGCCAGCATTCGGCCATTTTGAATAGCATCAATATATATCTGTATATCTATGACAGGATGTATAATGAATATTAAAAATTTGAACATAATCAGTCAAAGCGGTTTGAACAAAATCCATCTGTAAACAGCCAAGAAATGCTGGATTTCGATGATTTTTTAGCACAAAATAGCCGCCATTCGGCCATCTTGAATCAGATCATGAAACAAATTAATGTGCATATGTATAATATCATGTGTGATGTATGTGTGAAGTTTGATTCATTCAGTTCATGTTTCACATCAGTCAAGTTTTTTTATATAAAAACAAGTCGATATACCTCAAAGTAAACACCCAACACCTGCAACTAACACACTATTTTGGATAGAATCGACTCGTTGAAAATGGTGCCAAGGGTCATTTATCATTATTATATTAGAAACTAGACAACTACATGTAAACTACCTGTCACTTAACTCACTGGTAGCTATGACAACTACTTTCATAGAACTTACCTATGAACTCACCTAATTCATCAGTAACTATAACAACTAACGTACTAGCTCTATTAGAATTGAACATGAGTCAAAAATTGCATTTGGTAACTATGACAACTACTGGTATAAATTTCTCATACTCACCTTCCATCTGTTTCCACATTCATTACAAAACACAAATGTCGTCATCGGTTCATCAGCACTTCGAGTTTGAACCTGCAATTAAGAACATAGTATCTTAGTTTCACTTAAAATTGTTGTTTGTTACATATCAACCAAGTTCAGAAGATACAGAAAACGCAACCTGTCCATGTTGGTTTTGTCACTCAGCAGATAAATACCTTAACATTCCACCTACCGGATTCGGCTGATACCCCGCCCATCCTAAACCCCGCCCATAGGTGATGTTTAAAATAGTGGGCGATGTTTTGGTCCACACATTGCCTGACTGAACCAACAAACATTTTTACAGACCCCAATTTTCCCGTCGACATCTTGTATCGAGCGGGCTATTTCAAATATGACGCTAAAATAATTCACTGTGAAGCCGAAAAGCATTAAAAACTTCAATAAAACCAATGCTGTATACAAATTGTTGTTGTGTATTATTACACTCGAATAAAGTCTACACTAGAAAAGAATGTTATTTAGGAGGTTTAAAATATCCAAGCCTTCCTGGTTCGAGTCTCTTGGTTGTTATCAGTAATGTTTAATCTTTGTCTGTATCGCATTCCAGACGAGAAGTCAGTAAACAAGAAATGGGCGTACTAAAATGTCTCCTGCGTTTCACATGCGACATGATTATTAAAAAACACAGAGTTAAGCGGTCATGTACGTTCTATAAAGCTAACCTTGTACACATCATCTTGTACTGATGTGTTTTTTCTCCAAAAAAGACG